TCAAAGTTGTTTACTACAGATGTGGAATGTCTATAACCGTTAAGTCACACCCAGGTTCAAAGCATAACGTGAAATGGTATAAGAGCAGTAGTTCATAGGAATGAATCAACATACGAAGTTTTAAGGTAATCAGAAACAGAATTAAGTTAACTCAAGTTACAAACTCACAATGCTCTGCTGGATAGTCTTCTCGACCAAAGCCACACACCGATTAAATACAGGCGCGCAATAGGGTAAAAAGCCAATACCAAGAGCGGTAGCGACACTCGATAGGCATTCCAAAAGAGGGAACAGGTCCTTATCGTCATCTCTAAGGTTATTCCACTTGGCAAATAGCGCGGGCATTAGCAGCTCTTCATAATCTTTTTTATACAAATTGTGCCCCACAGAGTCAGCTAGAGTGCCAATAGCGTCGTAGAGGATAATCAGATTCTTGTGCTGATACTGACCCAATGCGGTGACCAAAGTCTGAAGTATATGATCCAAGTAGGGACACAGGTCCGTTCCAGCTTCCTCTTCTAAAGTGGCAAATGCCGAGCAGGCTGATTCCTGAACGCGCTTGTTGGTGTCTAGAATGCGATTTAAGAGCTAAAGAGAGCATCGCATTGGGAAGCGACAATTCAAGCATACCTCCCCTACTAAGGGGCGTAGGTATTGGTCGTGTGGCTGTCCAACAATCCAATTAGCGTATCTACTTAGGGTCCAACAGGCGATGCTCCGAATAAGCGGTTTTGGATCAGCCAGAGCTTTGATGAAGAAGGTGCAAAGATCCTGGAGATATGGCACCATGTCATTCATGCAACCTAGATGGACATATAGGAACATTTTTGCCCACCTTCGGCGATGGCACCGAGAACAAGGATGGCTGACTCTCGATAGCGCCAGTCTTGGGAGAGCAGATACTCCTTTGTAGTGGGGAGAAGGTATTGAAGAATTTCACTGTGAAATACGTTAGCTAGCACATCTAATGCCGCCGCTGAGCACTTTCGGAGGGTCCAATTGCTTACGTACTCATCGTCATCATCATCCTCATCACCGTCCTCATCACCTTGCATTCGATTTCGTGGCTTATGAAATCGTGGTTTAATATCACTATCTTTGTCCGGCACATGAGAATCGTTATCGAGATCATTCTAGGAAATCGGCCGTAAAATGTGAAGTAGTGACTTACGCTAAGCAAAGCAAGATCGCTCTCTGAATACTTCATCCCTCGCACAAGCACTGGAATAAGGCGATCAAGATAAGCGCTCAAAACTTGAAAGCACAAAGGTGCATCAGACAGAGAGAGCCAAAATTCACATGCCTCAAGTGCTGTAGCCTCATCGGCATCTTGGGTTCGGAGCAAAATGTACTTCGAAGATGAATAAATGGAAGAAATGGACCCACCTCAATTATGTTTGACATATGCGGCAGGAGCAAATCGACGCGAACCTCCACAAGAAAAACGAAAGCAGAACACACAAGCTTGACAACCTCTTTAGATGAATCGTCAGCTAACGCAAAAAGAGCTCGGAGAAATTCATCAACGTGATTCATGAAAGCACGTGACTGATTTGATATGAATTGATTGGCACAATGCAATGCAAGAGACCTATGATGGTGAGATGAAAATAAAACACTATTACCTTATCTTAGGGTGAGGATGGGAAAAGAACTGGATAAATTTTGGAATTAGTTCATCTAACACACTAAAGAAGCTATCATCCTCAAGATCATCCTTGGAATCCTCGCAAATTTTCTTAAGTGCATCAAACGTTCCCTAGAGTATATGAGCTTAGATTTTTAGTATACTTGAAGAAGATATGGGTCGTGGGTGGTGAGACTTTGTATTAGTTGAGGAATGACCTGTGGCCACGACTGCAGTCCACCAACACTGACGATCGTTGTGATGAGAGTGCCGGCAGTTGAGCGAATCAAAGGATGTGGGTCGTTCATCGACCTAAGCGCTTCCTCCTTTACACAAGCAATAACATCTGGCGGTTGCTTGCTATACGTGGATGCAAGATGGTTTTTCAGGATCAAACCACTCATCGATCGGGTATACTCATCTTAATATGTTTTAAAAAGACACTGAAAACTACCTTCACTAATCATTTTTGAGAAAATAAATATAAGATACTTTGCGAAATCCGGCGAGTTGCTAAGAGTGTTTAGTGTCTAAAACCATACGGTAAATAATGTTCCTAACCTCATGAACCCGACGCTGAGCACTTGTGTCACCAGTTTGAGACGTATGCAAAAGATCAAGAATTCCCTTTATATCAGACTCCTGTGGCACCCACGTCATTATCGGGAAACCGCACAAATGGCTGTGTTATGAAACAAGTGCGGTTCATAAAAATTGACTTAAACTAAAGTACATTATTGAAACTAAATTTTTATAATGAAGAGGTCCGAAAAATTAGTACAGTGCAGCTATATGGTGACAATTTATTTATCTTTAAGAAAAGAAAAGTAAATTCGTCGTGAGCAACTTATTGATCCTAAAAGTTATCTTGGAATAAACATCAAAGCAGGCATTTTGAAAACGTAACAAGCGATAAAACACTAACATTATAGAGCTACAAACGTGTAAAAATTATTACATTATGAAAAACGCTATACGAAATTGGAAAAGTATGTGACCACCAAAAGTAGTGGGGTCTTCATCCTACAGAAATTTATGCATGTGACCACCTGATGTCTGGCGGTGACTTCGATTTTCGTCGACTTTTTGTATGTGTGGGTTTACCTTTAGTTCAGGCTAAAGTCCAATCACTTCTTCCCCTACAATACTTATATTTAGCCCAAGTTAACGCCCAATTCTACTCAGTTTAAATTCTTGGGACGAATCATGCGTTTCCTTAAAATTTTCATTAGATTACGAAGTAAAAGGAACTCAAATTCTTTGTCTGGAATTAAAGTTGAAGTTGCTTGTAGCTACCCATCATTAATCGATTAATGGGAAATCGTCCCACAATTTCATCCATAACAGTTCCAGTTTTATCGCAATTTTTTAACTATATGCCGAGCAATTACGGGGCAAGTGAGGGAACTAGACTTATCATACTAGGCAGATCTTTCCAACTTTGAGAACAACCCCAATGATGGAAGTGCACTGCGGATGCTTTGGTATATATCAAGCTCTTTGAGCGTGCTCCCACCTTTGGGCTTAGCCAAAGTACAATTTTTCAATTTCATCCTTAGATACGTTCATTATAGCGTCTCGAGGCATCTCACAGGATAGGAGAGGGCAGCAAGTGGAGCTAAATGCATGTATTTTATGGCGAACAAAGGCACCAACCCGAACTTGGCCCAAATGCCATTCTATGCTTCAAAGGCTAGAAGAATCCTAAAGCAATCAATGGAAATTAGGTTTGTGTGTGTGTTTATGTGACTACCTGATGTGTGGCGTTCACTTGAGTAGTTTCCTGGCCCTTATACTCATGGGCAGGCCTTTGGGCCATGCTCGGGTCAATTCGCACCCCTTCTTTGACATACGTGTATCCAGCCTCACTTATTGCTTTGTTCGGCCTAACAACCCGAATCAATGCTCAACACAGCTGTTGGTCACCAATTTCTTCCAAATCTAGGCAGTGGAACTCTGAGATAACGAG